AGGGGGGGGGGGGGGGGAGAGAAAGCAGGTAGAAATTCTGGGGATTGAGGGCGAGCAAGGTTAATGAAGACCGAAAATGCAGCCACGCTTCGTAAACCCCGAGATCAACCGGGATCTTTTTTTTTTTCTAGACGGCATTAGACAGGCATGTGCATTATTAGCACATTCATATACAGCCATATGCACACATTATATGCACAATCACAAATGCTGGGATACGCAGTGTTTGGTAATAAACATGCATCCCACATTGCAATTGAGCTGACATGGCTTGGCTTTTAATCAAACTTGCAGCACCAATTAGGGATTACAAAGATTAGAGTGTCACCATTCATTAGCCTGGTGGCTATAACTGCAGCACCTTTAGGGTGTTGGCAAGTGGGTGGGCTTATGGTGGGATTGGACACCGAGCACAGCCACAAGGCATCCTCTTGACATCTGACTTTGTGTTGAGTATGGATGTCACAGCGACGAGAGACAGGTACAAAGACGGAGAGAAAAACACATTTGACTCCCCAGTTTATTTTTGGGGTTGGTGTAAAGGTCCACTTTGCTCTCACATTCAGCTTTGACTTGTCACCTTTGACAATGGGAAGTTACAAGCTGAAAAGTGAAACACCTTTTAAAAAGGGTTGTGTTAGCAGGTTTGCCCTGAAAACGACTGAAAATTCTGCTTCTCCTATTCTCTTTGGAGCCACATGTATAAATCATGGCAAACTTTGTGTCTGCACAGACGTACTGTGAGCAGCACATTAGCAGTCCCCTCTGTGTGTAGATATAAGACACGTTCAGGCACAGTATTGAATTGTAGGTAACCTACGTTTCGACAGCGCTCAGAGCCCAGCACACAATCACTGTAGTTAACTGCGTAAAATGGAAGAAAATAAACTGGATGCATTAAAATATGAACAGGGTTGCGGCCTGGATTGATTAAAATAGAAGTGTAGCTGTTGGCCGTCAGACATGCATGAGAAAGGATGACAGAAAAACCCTGCTGAAACACCTCATGTGTAAACATGTCGGAACAAGCAATAATTTTTATGCCTGAGTTGAAAATATTTTCAAGGAATGTTTAAGCACAGACCCCAAGTCACATGATCCTAATTTCCAAAGAAAGCCTGGTGAAAAAAAACATTCAAATAGTCTTAGTAGTTACAATATTTAAATGTAAATGTCTATTGGCTATTTGTGACCAAGACTGCTAAAAGACTCCAGTAGTCAGTGTGATTGCAGCAAGGTGAAAATTTGTTTTGCATCGTCTGTACACACACGCACTATAAGAAACACTATAGAGCTTCATCTCCTTTTAAAGCACAAAAAAATGCTAAGATACACGCACGGGCACACACACACACACACACACTTTATGCCCAGGGCTGATGACCTTCCGTGAGCAGCCAACCATCCTGTTTGTTCCACTTGAATGCAGGTATGCGACTGCTGCTTCTGCTGCTGCTGCTCTGCAACTGCAGCCAGACACTAGAGCCACCAAGCTGCCAGAGACAATGAGAGGGAGAGAGCAAGAAAGAGGGGAAGAGAAGAGTGAGATAGAAAGATGGGAAAAAGGAAAAAGCGGCAGGCCATTAAGCTCAGGCTGAAAGGACAACAAGTCCTAATAATGGAGGCCAAGCTGAGAGAGATGGCAGGTTAGGCTGACCTTCACAACTCCTGAATAACAAAACACACTTACACCCAAGTGAGTCCAGTGTGGTAATGTGATGTGGCAATGTTGCTCTACTGCTGCACATGGTGACTATCAGAAGCACATGAAGTGTTCAAGCATAAGTGGTAAGGATTAGGCCTTTCTTCTACCATTTTATAAATCTGTTCTATCCCCCTCTATGTTTCATTCTCTTAATATTCTATCCCCTGCTTTCATTCTCTTTGCTAAACCTTAGTGATCTTACTGCTTCAGTCCATCTTTTAGTAATCGGATTCTTTTTTTTCAACGACACTACAATAAAATAAATGATCAGTTAACAACTGAAAAATATTCAGTTTTTTTTCTAGACACTAGCCATTGTAGCAAAAGTGGTGTCTTACACAAGTGAGAATTGGATGAAAAATACCAAGCCCTGAAGTAGAATTACCTGGTTATAGCCACATTTTTGCAGCAATTCTCTGGTGGCGAGTCTCAATTTCCCTGTCTGGCACAAGTGATAGCTCGCTGATGGAAGAGTAACTCTCGCTCAGTCGGTAAGTGCAGCTCTGCTTTGGAGAGTTAAGTGGGCTGCTGATTAGCTTAGCGTTGATTTGTCTGAATATTTCTTAATTTGATGAAGAGTGTGGCAGCCTAGAAATACAAAGCAATTGTGCTACATTCGTAGATTCACACATACAAGCACAGGTGGATGAATACACAGACAGATGGATGACTGAACACACATGTAGTGCCAGAACGAGGGGGTGAGGACTGGTTTGAACACTGATTAAAGGTGGCATTGTGTCAATTCTAGTAGTGTGTATGTGTGTGTGTGTGTGTGTGTGTGCGTGTTGAGACAAAAATTGCCACTGCTACCTAAAATACACACGCTGCTCTTTGTTAGCAACGAGCAAGTGCCTAAATTCATCTACAATTATGTTTGGTTTAAACCTCCAACAGTAATAATTAAACAGTAATGATGAAAAATTGGAAATAGTAATAATTAACACTTCTCCAAAACTTAAATTTGGTTTGTGATTTGGACAGAATCTCTAAAACAGTTAGAAAAAATAAATAAATAAAAAAAGTTCTATGATTTGAGAAAATGTGTTTTATTTTTACTCTCCTATGTAAGGGTGTTATGTTACACCCCTTTTATGATTAATCTGAAACTCTCAGAAAAGAGCGCTCCTTGAAAGGAACATTATGAGCGCTACTCTAAATGCAGTCCATCTACACAATTCCTCATTAACCTGTCTTCACATACTGCACTCACACTTATAAAGCACTTGACAGCCGCAGTATGCGCATGTCACTGTCCTCTGATTCAAATGCACCACAGTGGAAGAGGTTGCTCAGCTCTCGCAACGCGTTCCACACTTGTGTAGTTCTGAAACAATGCGGCTGTCGAAAACTAGCTGAAATATGAGGAAGATAACAGAGTGGTGTCTCTTTCTTACATGGGATCTTGCACGGTTCCATTGTTAATTCATTACCCAATCACACTTGGAGAACAATTGAAATCGATAGCATGTTATTCATAAGAGTGCACTTTGTAAATCAATTTAGCCCCTATTATACCCCTGATGAATCCCCTTTAGAGAGAATGATTAATTAATTAAATCGAGGGCACGTTTTCGTCTTTCAGTCTCTCTGTGTTACTTGTAGCCTTTTTTTAGAACCTCACATCAAAAGGCTTGAAGCTACACATAAGAACAGAACTGGAACACATTTACTTGTGATTCATTTTATCCTGTTTAGATGCTAGGTGCGAGCTTCACTCATACAATACAACAAGAGTGGTATCAAAGGGAAGTATTAGAAAGTCAGTAAAGGATGCATATTTAAGTGAAAAGTTAAACACTGCCTGAACTCTTTTTGCTGTAAATCCAGTCCCTCTGGTACTCAGTGTAGTACAACACTCACTCCGAGTATTAAAATCTACCCAAAAAGTGATGCTTTGTAACTCTGCATTTCCATTCTATGTCAGTTTTCCTCCCTGATATTATGTGCACAAGAAAAACAGGCTCTAGATTGTTTTTTGATTGGCATGCAAAATGAGAAAAAGCTCATTAGAAATCTGCATTGAAGTCACGTTAATTAGTGAGACAGGTTTGCATGGCAGAAAGGTGGACGACCCTGGATCTTCCGTTTCTCGATCATGTTGTCTGTATTGACTAAACCATTAGAGGCGGTGAATGATCAACAAGACGGACAATTGCTTCACTGAGGCCCAATCTGCCATATCACAGCTTCTATGACTAAGCTGCCTCCTCTTAAAGTCATAGGATCACATTTTTCATTTATGTTTTATGTACTCTATGTATGAGTATATGTTTTTTTCTTGTAATATACTATATTTATAATTAAATTAACCAATACCCGAAACAACTCAGGGTTATTCGGAACTGTACTTTTGAATTTGGATGTGAGGTCCACATTGGGTTGGAGGCAGTTAGACCTTATTATTGCTATTATTATTAGGCCTGTTAATGAACACAAACATAGATACAATATCCTCATGCATTAAAACAACCACAAAAAACAAAACCAAAAATTCGTCCATACAGGAAATGAGAACAACAAATTACATGACCAATTCAGTAGAGCAGAAATAACAATAACTGTTATTATCAATGATTAATATTTACACGCTGCCCTTGACAGACAGTTGAAAGGTTAACGGCTAGTGAATGGTTGTTTCTATAAATACAAGTAGTGCTGTTATTAACTTAATACGAGGTTATGGGGGACTGTCAGTGAGAAAATCCCCCTTTACAATATATATATATATATATATATATATATATATATATATAAAAAGAATATTCCTCATGCGGCCAATTCAATAACAAGAAAAAAAA